GGTAAACACCCCTGTGCCAGGCTTCCAAGGCTAGAGACGTAACAGATGCCTGTGAAAAGAGGCATCTCATCTCTTCTATAAGCGTGCTTTATGTTGGAGACCCTGCCCAAGGCCTTCAGCCACTAGGTTAGGATTTTTTTAAATATTTTTTTTTTTTTAGTTGTTGATGGACCTTTGTTTCATTCACTTATTTATACGTGGTGCTGAGAATCAAGCCCAGTGCCTCACACCCACGAGGCGAGCGCTCTATCACGGAGTCACAACCCCAGCCCAGGATTTTTTCTTTTTTTTAAAGAAGAAAAAAGCCCCAAAGATAGGATGGGCCGAAGATGAAGCCAGATCACCTATAAATGTCGTGAGAAACTGTGCATCAGGCTCAGAATTTGGAGTTTGTTCTCCTCTGGGCCCACCGGCGTAAATAAAGTGGAGACTTCCCCGAGTGCTGCTTCTCGACTGGTCTGTTTCCCTCAACAACGTGGCTGTCGTGAGATTTAAATGACTCCACGTGTTCACAGTGTTCAGACCTACGGCATGTATGACTCTTAGGTATTTTTAACTACCTAAATGGGAATGAGCATTATTATATTTTTTTAATATGTTAGGGATTGAACTCAGGCCCTGTAGCATGCTCGACAAGTGCCCTACCACTGGGCACCCCAGTCCTTCACAGTTTTTATTTGAGACAGGGCCTCACTAAGTTGCTCAGGCTGGCCTCAACCATGTGATCCTCCTGTCTCCGCCTCCTGAGTGGCTGGGATTATAAACACACACACTACTGCACCCAGCAGGATGAATCTTAGGACAAATAGCCCATTAGTAAAATACCACGAGAGACCACCATCCACCCCTACTTGGGTGGAACAGCTTCATGGTAGGCGGCAGGTACTGGAAGCCGTCTCACCATAGGAGGGGGCGAGGACAGAAAAGAACGCAAGGGAGTCTGGAACAATCCCCGCGCAACAGGTCAGACTTGGGGGCTTTGGTGTGAGCTCACGTGCAGCTCAGCGTAGACAAGGAAGTCACACATGGAAATATCTAGAATCTGAGTATCTGCAGGGGTGAGTGAATCACGCACCAGGAGAGAGATCTGGGAGCAGAGAAGGGAGATGGGGAATCAGAAAGGACACACAGGATGTCACCTGTGGGGGAAGACGAAGCAGGAAGCGGATATCGGGGTGTTCCAGCGGAGGGGAGCTGAGCCTGGAGGCCGAGTCACGAGTCCCGGGGCCACTCTGGCTCTGGACTAATCACAAGATTATCCCAGTGTGCCTGGCAGGGAAGAGGTGGGGGTCCAGCAAGCCAGCTGAGGTCAGGCTGAAGGAAGGGGCACCTGGAGGGCCAACCAGTGGGATTTGGGGACCACTTGGCCATCAGAAGCAAGGAATCCGGTGCCCCCACAGGTCTATAACGGGGTCAATGGGGAATGGTTTGGGTCTTGGAGGCAGGTTTTGGGAGAAGATGATACAATTTTTGGACATGCTGAGAAGAAACGGCTCATAGAATGTGTCTAAGGGAAGCTGGCCATGCGGTCTGGAGCGCCAGAGTTGATTCTGGGGGCACCGCAGCCGTTTGTCAGCACCTACTATGCGCCAGGCACTGTTCCAGGTTGCAGGTCCAGAGGTTGAGGCAGGAGGATGGCCAGTTGGAGGCCAGAGGGACCTTGTCTTACAATAAAAAATAAAAAGACCTGGGCATACATCTCAAGGGTAGTGCACCCCTGGGTTTAATTCCTGAGACCACTAAAAAAAGAAAAGAGAGAAGAGATTGAAAGCTCATCTACAATCAAAATGAGAAAAGGACACTTTAAAAGAAAGGGATTTTGCCATCTAGGAAGGATGTAGTCACAGGTTAAATGCCAGCCCTTTACGATGGACGGATTTTCCTTTGTGCAGCCTGAGTGCACTGTGCTGCTTACAGGGGGAGTGGACATCAGGAGCAGCGGGCAGTGGCTATCTCCGTTCTGGAAGGGCCTGTGGGATGTGGCGTTAGTGAGACAGTGTGCCGTCTCCACATCTCTGCTGCACCAAGGTCTGTCCCTGGGTGCCTCGAAGAGTGAGGATTGAGGCGGCGGAGCCACGTCCCGCTCCCTCCTGCGCACAGGCCGGGAGGTGGCTTCTCTCCTCCACACACAGCTCCTCTTCTCCCCCTGCCATCGGCTGAGACTGCGCCTGTCCTCCCACATTCTGCTCAGCCCCGGGACACCAAGGGATGCCCACTGTCACTGACAGCGTGACCAGCAAGATAAACACAACTGGCCTCCCGAAGCTCAACCAGACGGTCCAGGGAAACCCAGCCAGGGGTCCTGCTCATGCAGGGTCAGCTGAGACCCCCGCGGCCTGGCCAGGAATGCGGCCTCACTGTGCGAAGGCCTCACTATGCGAAGGCCACGCATCGGCCAGTACGTGAAGGCCGGCAGTGCTTCAAGGTGTGCTGAGTGGCTCTTGAACAGGAAGCCCGGACACCTGCCTGACGGCACTGTTCTTTGCACATAAGAGGTTTTGGGTGGCTGGGGGCACAAAGGGATGGTGGGACCCAGGTATCTTACATTTCTTTTCTTTTTTTTGGGGGGGGGAGGGTACTGGGGATTGAACTCAGGGGCACTGAGCCCCACCCCAGCCCTATTTTGTATTTTATTTAGAGACAGGGTCTCACTGAGTTGCTTAGCACCTCGCTTTTGCTGAGGCTGGATTTGAACCCACAGTCCTCCTGCCTCATGCTCCCAAGCTGCTGGGATTACAGGCGTGTGCCACCACACTGGGAAGTTATCTTTCTTTTCTTAAGTTTCCTGGATAAGATGAACGGGCTTCCCCTACCAAGTGATCCCACCATGATGTGCTGCCTCGACACAGGCTCAAAAGCAACAGGGCCAACCAATCATGCACTGAAATCTCCAAAGCTCTGAATCAAAATAAACCTTTCCTCTTTTTAAGATGATTATTTCAAGTATTTTGTTGTAGTAATGGAAAACTAACACAAGTATTAAATAAGTCAAATATAATATGTGTGTGTGTGTTGTGGTGTATGTGTGTGTGTGTGGTTCTAGGGATTGAACTTGGTACTTTCTACCCCTGAGTTATATCCCTTGTACTCCTCACCTTTTTTTGGTACTAGGGATGGAACCCCAGGGCACTCTATCACTAAACTACACTCTCAGCCCCTCACCAACTTTCTTTTATTTTTTGAGACAGTGTCTTACTAAATTGCTGAGATTAGCCTTAAATTTGCAATTCTGCTCAGCTTCTCTAGGAGGTGGAATTGTAGGCCTGCCTTTTTTTTTTTTTTTTTTTTTTTTTTGAGACAAGGCCTTGCTAAGTTGCCCAAACTGGCCTTGAACTTGGAATCCTCCTCCACGCTCAGCCTCCTGTGTGTGACTCTGCACCCAGGTAAAGTTGCCCTAGGGGTGGTTTTACCCACAAACCCCAGAATTCACCCCAATGCATGGGAAGAAGCCTCTGTAGAGAAACCACACAGGAGGAGCCCCCGAGGTGCAGCCACGGCCGCCGCCGTGGTTTCTGAAACTCCTCATTTCTAGAGATAGCATTGTCCTCCTTTGGGCCACTAGGGAGCTTCTGGTTGGGGCTCAGCAAATGCAAAGACTGAATTCCCGCTGCTGCTGCGTGTCACTGGCTACATCAACACACATTTTATCAACCCTCCAAGCAGAAAAGACTCCTGGGGAAAGTCATCAGGGTTCAGAGGACAAAAGAGTCATAAAGCCAGGCCACCCAGAGGACAGGTGACACAGCAGGCTGGTCAGGCTCCAGTGGAGAGCAGGGCTCGGGTGTCACCTGGGAGGCAGCACACCTGTCCTCCAACCTAAACAAGCATGGAGAGCACGGGGTCAGGGACGAGGACCCCTCCGCCCACCCCACCCAGGGAGGGGGTAAGTGTCCATGCACTGTCCTTGTCCCTTTCCCAAAAAGGGTGGGGATCTTGGAGGGAGGTGAAGACCCTGGAAATACTTCTAGCAGGGAGGGCCAGGGGTTGCCTGCCCAAAGAGACAGTGCAGGGAGGCGGCCCCCCGAAGGCCTCTGCTCAGACACAAGCACAGTGGGACGAGTCCAGCTCCCGAGGTTCAGGAAGACTGGACGGTGCTGGACAAGCCCCCTCCTCACACGCAAGTCCTGCTCCCGCCCTCAGGGAGGTGGCCTCTGAAGAAGGCCGGGATCCGGCCCCTCTCCTCCTGCCTGGTACTGGACTCAGGGCTGTGGGCAGTCAGGCAGCTGGTGGCACTAGAGCGGGGAGGGGCACACCCCGTGGAGTGGACAGTTGGTCCAGGACCTGGGTTTCTTGGAGCTCTGAGAGACAGTCACAGACCTGGCCTCAGTGCCCCTGCCCACTCCTTGGACTTTGACCCTCAGGCCATGCGCCGCCCACACCCCCAGCCTCCCTGGAGGTGACAGCCACCCTGGAGACTGTGCCACAGGCTCCGGAGATGCCCCGATGTCCTGAGGGCCTGTTCTGGAGCCAAAACAGAGCAGGTGGCCCCAGGGCCTGGCCAGGCTCCCTCGGTCTGGAAGGCCAGTCCTGCCGCTGACCCCCGGGATCTACCCAGCTCTCTGCTCAGCAGGCACCTCTCAAAGAGGCCGTCCCTGTCCACCTGCTGAACAGGGCCCCAGCCCATGGCCTTACCCCATCCCCTGCTCTGGGATCCTCACAGCCTGTCACTGTTGGGAATTCACCATTGTCACCTTCTCTTTCTGTTCTTCTTTCCTCACCTCCTTAGAAAGGGAGCTTCCGGAGCAGGGCCTCCCGGCAGCCCCTGGCTCCATGCGCCATCCCTGGGCTGGCCCAGGGCGAGCCAGGAGGTGCTGAGCTCTGTCTTCAGGGAGGAGGCGAATGCCTGCGGGGAGCAAGGGATGAGGCCTCAGATCTCTGAGGAGCCCCAGCTGGGACCCCCTCCCCCACCAGCCACCTCCTCCCACTTCCTAGGCATGGCCCGCATCCCCTGACCCCACCTCTGGTCCCAGGCGGAGGGAAGGAGAGGCCACACCCCCCTCATGCCCACCCCACAGAGGCCTGGTGGTCCCAAGGAACAACCCACAGTCCCTGACCTTGGGCCTCGTCCTCTACAGCGGCTGCCACCCACGCTGGTGCTGGCCACGCTGAGTGCAGCCTTCGGCTCCGCCTTCCAGTATGGCTACAACATCGCCGTGGTCAACACGCCCCACCAGGTGGGCACCAGGTGGGCACCAGGCGGGAGGGGGTGGCGGGGTGAGCAGGCCCACGGGCGGGAGGTGGGAGACAGCGGCCATCTGTGACTGTGTGACAGTTCCTCCCAGGACTGTCATCCTTCTTGGCACACTAGGATCCGGGGGACCTGGATTATCTCCCTGGTCTCCTTGGGTCCACCTGTAGATGGCCAAGGTAACGGGTCAAGAACTGAACTCCGGCATTTAGAGACTGAGATTGGAGCCAGGAGAAGCACAAGAAAAGGAGAGAAGGGTCCTCGTCCTGTGTACTGTAGGCACAGTGTCCCTACAGCTGGGCAAGGCAGAGGGTCGTTCTGATGAGGAAGAGAACTGGCCCAGGACTTTGACCTTGTGGAGGGCACGGATGCACTCAGTGTGGCCAGAGAGCAGCAGGGATGAGAGCCTGGCACAAAAACCTGGGTGGTGTGGGCTCAGGAGGCAACAGTGGGGTGAGGCGCAGGTGGTGAGAACAGCACTTTTGAAGGGGTTTTGCTGGACGGGAGGGAGAGGCAGAGAGGAAGCTGGGTGGCAGGTGGCAGGAGTCACATTTGTATACTGATAGGGCATATTGTGGGAGACCAGGCATGCAGGACAGATGGGGACTGTTGCAGAAAAGACACCCCCGAAGGAGAAGAGGGGACAGGGTCCAGGAGGAGAACAGGTAGACTTACTGTTCGCCCAGTAGGTGAGTTCTGCAGGGTTTGGGGGTTTTTTTTGTGTTTTTTTTTTTTAATCGATGTCATTAAAAGCTGAATACAGTAGCATGTACGGTAGTCTTAGCTCCTAGGGGGTCTGAAGTAGGAGGATCACAAGTTTGAGGCCACCTGAGGACCTTAGCAAGACCCTGTCTCAAAGTAACATAGAAGTGACTTGGGGGGGGTGGGGCGGTGGCCAGGGTAGAGCCCTGGGTTCAATCCCCTGGACCAACAAGAAAAAAAAAAAAAATCAGACTGGGGGTGGGGCTCAGTGTAGAGAGCTTACCCAGCACGTGGGAGGCCCTGGGTTCCACTCCCAGCATGAATTTTGAAAAATCAAGGTCATAAACGTAGGTGGTTCTGCGGTACCTATATGTGTGTGTGTGAATTACTTACATGTAGATATTACATAGAGAGAGAGAGAGATTGGTTTACTTATGGATATTACCATTGATGGAACATTTTTTTTTCTTTTTCTGTTCTGCAGCCCTGGGGATTGAACCCAGGGCCTTTCACGTGCTAAGCGAGAACTGCACCCCTGGCCCTGGGTCACCTTTTCTGAGTCACTTTATTGCAATTAATGCTCACAAATTCTTCCTGTCACTGAAGAGATGAGGGCTTAAGCTGGGTTATCCCATTTGCCCAAAGCCACATAATTAGTTGGCATATTTTCTATGCTGTCTCTGGCAGAGTAAGGCTCTGAAAAATGGGTTGTTTATAGTGGATTTTAACCATATTGCATGCAGTCTGGTTCCTCGTTTCACTCCATCGCACAGAAGATCATTTTCTTATCACCAGCAGAGAATCACTGAGTGACCTGCACACTTGGTAGACACATCCCTCTCTGCGATGACACGGGGCAGCTGAGAATGCTCAGGGCGTTCTTCCTCTTGAGTTGCCTATTGGGCCGCTGGCGGGTCGTGTTTTTCAGGTCTTCAAGTCGTTTTATAATGAAACCTACTTTGAGCGACATGGAACATTCATGGATGGGAAGGCCCTGCTGCTCCTGTGGTCCTGCACGGTGTCCATGTTTCCTCTGGGCGGCTTGTTGGGGTCTTTGGTGGTTGGCCTGCTGGTTGACAGGTGTGGCAGGTAAATAGAGGGTATGCTGCTGTCCTACATGAAATCCAGGTCAGCAGACCTCACTGTCTCCTGGTGACTGTGCACCTGGGAGAGACACCATATGACCCTGAAGATCCAGAGGTCAAAAACCACGTCTCCCCTTTGCCATGGACGTCAGACTCACAGGTCCTGGCGGGGGCACAGGCTCCCCCGTCACCCGCCCCAGAGGCGCTGCCGCCTTTGAGAGCAAAGTTCCCCTTGGTACTCAGCTTGGCCTCGTCAGCACTTCCAGCAGGAGCTAGATAAGTGCTACTTGCCTGGGTCTCACCCTGCACTCGGGTGGCTGTGGCCCCAGGTCTAAAGGCACAGCCTCTCTCTGCATGGCCTCGCCATGTGCTGTCCTGACACCTGGCGGCAGGCTGTGTCATCCCACGTGCCAGGGCCTCACTCTCACTGGGACATGGAGCCTCAGTCTTTACCCTTTGCTCAGACTCACTCCCCTGCCTGCCAAGCCCAGGTGCTGCACAGACCCCGCTGCACAGATAAGGGGACACACAGGTCAAGGTCCCCAGGAAGGAGGAGCAGGAGCCGGGTCATGGGTCAGGGTGGAGGCACTGCATGTGCTCAGGCCTGCTCCTTGGAACTCACAGCTGCACTTGGCCTTGATGTGCCCAGTAGACGGCGTGGGGGAGGGAGAGGAATACCTCCAATGAAAACTAACACAAACAAAAACAGACAGAAGAGGAAAGGGCGGTGCTGTTTCAGACAGAAAAGAAAAGATTGTTGGTTGGCAATGATCTGTCCCTGAAGGCAGGACCCAGGGGCCTCCCCTGAAAATAGTCAATGAGCAATGACTCGCCCTTCCTGTGCCCTTCAGTGAAGAGCGCACTCAGAGAATTCCAGGTGCGCCGTAGTCCAGGCGGTCTTGCAACTCAGACTGGGCTGTTCTCAGCTACCCCAAGAGCGGCTGGGCTGTTCTGGAAGCCCAGGCTTGCCCTCCACTTCCTTGTCTGGACACCCAAGCCAGGGCACCTGGGCGGTGGAGGAGACTTGGAGAGGAGCTCACCTCTGCACAGGAGGTTTTGCAGATGAGGAGCCCGAGCCTGGAGGTGGGGTGGAGCTGGCCTTGTGAGTGGGGTCCTGACCCCCAGAGTCCCCAGAGGCCAGCAGGCTCCTGGTGACCAGGAAGGGAGGGAATAGAAGGAAGGTGGGGCCAGGGTAGACTATTTGTTCTCCTTGAGCCTCTGGGAGCTCTAGGGGGTGCTCTCTTGGTGCTGGGACTGTCCCAGGGAGTGAAGAGTGGCTAAGGAATTCAGCCTGCACACTGCGGATCCCCAAGAGTCCTCAGGGACCTCATCATCCCTGCTCCCAGGGCAGAGCCACTCCCCTTTGGCTGCTTCACTCAGGGGCCTGTATGGATCAGGGCCCTGAAAGGCAGCAGCAGAGTGTGGGAAATGACAAAGGCCAGGCAGAGTCCCTCCAGCCCTAAAGAGGAGAGAAGGGAGGGAGTTGCTAACACCTCTGGAGGCAGACAGAGAAGGAAGACAGCCCCCAGCGCCAGGCCAGCCGGCCAGCACCCAGCCAGGAGCACGTGTCCTTCCCTCTGGTCACTGCCCTGCACTGGCAAAACCCAAACCCCAGGCAAGGGACAGAGGACCCGGGCCCTGGGTGCAAATCTGTCTGAGACATGGAGCAGAGTCCAGAAGATGGGATGGTGGCAGGGGCCTGCAGGGTACATCCCACTGGGCACTCATTTTCAGATGCTGTCTCCCTCCATGTCACAGGCTGGTGGCTTTCAGCCTTAGAAGGGCTTTAGAGATCATCCAGTCCTACTCTGCACCCCCCCTGCTGTGGGAATCTCCCATCCAACACTCCTGTCAGTCATCGCTTCTGGTCTAGGAACCACCAGCAACAACTTGAATTCCACCAGAGACAGGAAGCTCCCCTCTCCTCGGGCGGCTTACTCCTTCCCAGGAGCTATGATGGTCAGAGCGCCCCACCCCCACTGACCCTTTCTTTCCTGGGGCTTTGGCCCAGGTGTCCTTGCCTCACCTTCCTTCCCTCTGATTTAGTCAGTACAAGAGGTTGTGACAAATTACACAGGGAAACTGAAACAACAGACATTGATTTCCCAAGGTCTAAAGGCTGGAAGTCCAAGCTCAAGGCTGTTACAAGTCTCCTTCCTTCTGTGTCCTCACAGGAGGGTGGAGGGGGGGGAGAGAGAGAGAGAAAGGGAATGAGCGCTGTCTCTTGCCCCGTCCCCCACCCCCACAGATGGAACCCAGGCCCCCAGACCCCAGATACACTAGGCAAGCCCCTGAGCTACGCTCTCCCAGCCCTGATGGCACTAATCCCATTGCCAGAGCTCCCCTCATGACTTAATCTCCCCCACTTTGGGAGTGAAAGGCTGCAACATGAATTTGGAGAACCCTGGAGTCCCCTGTCCCACCCATCAGCCTGTTCTCAGGTGCATTCCCTGACTCTGTAGTGATGGCCCGGAATGCGGAAGCTGGTGTCCAGAGCTCCTGGTGTGACCGTCGCTGCCCTCTGGGCACTGATGTCTTGCAGAAAGGGAACGCTGCTGATCAACAACATCTTCGCCATCCTCCCCGCCATCCTGATGGGAGTCAGCAAAGTGGCCCAGGCCTTTGAGCTGATCATCTTCTCTCGTGTGCTGGTGGGAGTCTGTGCAGGTACCTGGGATGGTGGCCCCAGCCCCAAGCGGGGTTCAGTGCATCTGTCAGGGGAAGGGCTCATGGGCCAAGGCTGGGTGCAGCGGGTCTGGGTCTCGCTGGCTCTATCTGCCTCTTTCCCCTTTTGGGGCAAACGTCAGGCTTTCTAGGTCCTTTCGTTTATTTAACAAAATCTTCTCTAGGGGAGGATCGTTAGAAACACGATTTATTATGAAATACAAATGAGGTTTTATAAGGCATCTCCCAAGGAAGATGTACAGTTTAAACCAAGGACAGGGATTTCAAGCAAAATAAATGCAAAATGTGGGATCTCAGTCACCAGATGACAAGGTTTCTTAACTACAGTAATTCTGTTACAAGTGTGTGTGTGTGTGTGTGTGTGTGTGTGTGTGTGTGTGTGTGTGTAATCTGTGCTTTAGAAATATCAGAAAATAAATAAAAGCAAAAGTCATATGTCAATCCCACATGAAGATAAGTCCTAGGTAAAGGTAAGAGTTACCTATTAGCCCTGGGAACACACAGAGGCCTAGACTTCTCCCCCCTAACAGGAGGCCCAGTGGGCAGCTATACCGCTATATCCTAGCAATGTCCCCAGAGAGGGTGAAGAATTCTGGGGGGATTTTGATATAAGTCTAAACCAAATAGTCAAGGTTGGCTTATTTGCTGGGCACAGTGGTGCGTGCCTATAATCCCAGCTAGAGAGAAAAGAAGAGAGGGAGGGAGGGAAGAAAGGAGAGAGAGAGAGAGAGAGAGAGAGAGAGAGAGAGAGAGAGAGAAACACCAAAACTGGCCTATTTCCAGCTCAGTCACAGAGGCGCTGCCCCCTGTCCAGGGCTCCCACGCCTCTGGAGGGTGGGCACTGATCTTGGCCTGCCTTGATTTTCACTTTGCCTGAACCAGGCATCTCCTACAGCGCTCTTCCCATGTACCTGGGAGAACTGGCTCCCAAGAATCTGAGAGGCACCCTGGGAACGATGACGGAGGTGTTCGTCATCATTGGAGTCTTACTGGCGCAGATCTTCAGCCTGCAGGCCGTCCTGGGCAACGCCACAGGTAACTCGCAGCAAGAGTCAGAGCCGGGGCCTTGAGCGTGGGGAGCCCGACTAACGGAGCAAGTGGGGGGAGGCCTGGGAGGTGACCCAGATGACCACCTGGGCAGTGTGCGTGGGCGATGGAGAGAGAAGAGACGCAGAGACCAGCCCGAGTCTTGCTATTAAAGGAAGGAGAAAACCTGAGAGGCAACTGGGAGGGGAAGCTTGGTGGAGAGAAGAGATTTGTTTTCAAGCTGGGAAAAATATCAGCATATTTGGCTGTTACGGGAATAATGCAGCAGGGAGGGACATAGGGGCAGGGTGCTCAGGGTGCAGCCCCCATTACCGTGACATGCATGAAGGCGGCACCTGTAGATATTTTCTTCTGGTGGCTTCTATTTTCTCAACAAGGTCATTACCTGAGTGTGACCTGGGGAAACATGGCTAAAGTCCGAGAGAAGGAAAAAAGTATGAAACAGTCATGGGGAGGGTAGACCCGAGAACAGACCAATAAACTTGGCTAGAAGTGTTAGACTTGGCAAGGCAGTGTCAGCAGCCCCCAGAACACAGTGGAGTCTCTTTAAAAGCTTTTTGAATGACCCAGATCAAACAAGAGCCACATTTTCTTTTTTCCCCCAGTTCTGGGGATTGAACTTAGGGCCTCACACATGCTAAGCAAGTGCTCTACCACTGAGCTACGCCCTCAGCCCTTGAATCTATGCTTTGTATTTTCCATGATATCTTGAAGGGATTCGACTAAGAAGTCAGTGGAGGGACCCATACAGGATCATTAGCAGTGATTCCCAAACCACCGCCCCACATCTGAAAATTAAACATTAATTAGAGTGGTGGCGCAGGCCTGCAATCCCAGCAGCTCTGGAGGCTGAGGCAGGAAGATCACAAGTTCAAGGCAGCCTGGGCAATTTAGCAACTTTTTTTTTTTTTAATGTTAAAAAGAGCTCCAGTGGTGGAGTGCCCCTTGGGTTCAATCCCCAATACTGCAGGGGAAAATATCAATTAAGCCTCATCCCCAGGTTTAAATGGACACCTTGCTGGCTACTTGTCTTGGCCCTGGAGTGCTCTTTCGCCCCCTCACCACTTCTCGCTTTATCAGTAGTGTTATCACTCTTTATCTTACTGTTAAGAAAACCAAACTCACACACATCAGAGGCAGCCCCCCAGGAGGCAGCCGGGACCCTACCCACATCTTAGATCTCAGTACCCCTGCCTGGACCCAAACCCTGGGCAAGGGGCAGGCACAGCGCTGAGTCTGTCCACTCCCCAGCCCCAGCCTCCAGGGACCTAGAAGAGATCATGCGGCTTCCAGCCTAAAGTTAGGGAAATGATGCAGATCCATTTTCTCTAGGGCTCACATTTTCAGATCATATTCTAGAACTAAGATGGTTTCTAGGATGGTTGGAATGAATAAAACTCATGATTTTGTCAATTGCGGTCGTTTTCTCCATTCTTAATATGGGACCCCTTTGTGGGTGGGCCCGTGGCAGCCACCTCTTGGCAAGGACTTGCCCGTGGTCCTTCTTTCGCAGTGGACAGAGGCCACTCAGAGTCCAGACGTGGCTGCTGGAGGCTCTGTGGCCCCGGGTGGCCGGTCGAGCGTCACTTCCTTTCAGGCTGGCCCGTGCTCTTGGCTCTCACCGGGGTCCCCGCGCTGATCCAGCTCCTCTCCCTGCCCTTCTTCCCCGAGAGCCCCCGCTACACCCTGATTCAGAGAGGAGACGAGGAGACCGCGCGGCAAGGTACAGAGGCGAGAGGCTGCTCCCCGAGCCCTCGCGCCCCTTTCCCTTCCTGCCCCACGCCCCCCAAAATGCCCTCCCCGTCAGCTCAAAGCGCTCAGCTCGGCGTCTGGCTGGGAACACCGTCAAGGTCACAGTCAGGGTCACAGGTCCCCGTGCCGGGTGGCAACTGGGGCGCGGCCACCATGCTGGGGACCTGACTGGGTGCCAAACGGCGAGCCCAGAGTGGGCCGCGTGGGGACGTCCCGCGCTCCCGAAGCCTGGCGCGCCGCGCAGTGGTGGGGCCGCTCTGCTCCGCAGCTCTGGGGAGGCTGAGAGGTCGCGCCGCCGACGTGGAGGCCGAGATGGAGGACATGCGAGCGGAGGAGCGCGAGGAGCGCGCGGCGGGCCGCCTGTCTGTGCTCAGCCTGTTCACCTTCCGGGCCCTGCGCTGGCAGCTCATCACCATCCTCGCGCTCATGGCCGGCCAGCAGCTGTCCGGGATCAACGCGGTGCGCGGGCACGAGGGAAGCGGGGGGCGGTCCGGCGGGGAGGGGTCTGCGGCCTGCTCTAGGGGCTTCCGGCCCTTGAAAGCCATTTGAGTCACGGAACATGCACGAGTGGCTTTGTTATTGCCACGTGCAAAGCTCAGCTCTGCCTCCCAGATGGGTGGACGGAGACTTAACAAGCAAAACCCGGGCAGACACGTCCAGCTCTGGGAGGGACAGCCGCACTCGGTCACCAGGGCTTGTTTCTTTTGCAAGTAACAAGACCCCCCTGGAAAGAGATAAAGCAAAATCAGACTTCATTTACAGCAGGTGGCGCCACGAAAGCAGGCCAGCCAGGCCGCAGGGCCCCAGGAGCCGCCCTGGAGCAAGAACAGCAGCTGTCTTTTAATATTCCCTGCTTTATTTTTCTCTTTTCTATAGAACATTTTTCTTTGCTTCCCAGTCCCTAAGAGAAAAGTCTCCTACCAGTAATTCTTTCCCTTCCTCTTTAAAAAATATTTTTTATACTTTTATTTACTTTTATGTGGTGCTGGGGATGGAACCCAATGCTTCACGTGTGCTAGGCAAGCGCTCTACCACTGAGCCACAACCCTAGCCCAGTTCTTTCCCTTCTGTGGAAGGGATCAGCCAGACAGAGCCAGAGCCCTGCCCCCACTCTCAGCATCCAGGGTAGGTGGTGGATCCAGCCTGGCTCAGGAGCAGCCTGGAAGCCACTCGGCTGTAACCATGTGGCATCATGGGGACATGCTTCTTTTGCTGTAGGTGTATTTATTGATGATGTGGAGGGGAGGGCAGAGATCTGAAGAGGGTCACTTCTAGAACCACCATCAAGGTTGAGTGGGAGACCCAGTTGATGTTCAAGGGAAATGTCACTGGTCCTTTGGGATTCGAGGTGTTCAGCAAGTGATCTTGGGAGTAGACAGACAAACGGGAGCCACCAAGTGGAGACCAACATGAGTGTCTTTGGAAGTTTCCTTTGTGCCAACAACCTGGGGACTTTAGGGGGATGTGTCTCCCACTCAGCCACAGACAAGCTGAACTTACAGTTGGCTTGGCCCCAAATAAGAGATAAGTCACTGTATGTGGTCTGAGCTTATAGAATAGCAAAGGAACGTGGGGAGGAGTGCTTAGAGGTCCTGGTGGTCCACTCGCATTTTATAGTTGCAGAACCTGGGCTCAGAGAAGGATTTGGCCACCCTCCATCCCAGGAGTCCTAACTTCACCCCCACCGGCTGTCTCCTTCTGACCCAACCCAGGCTTTTAGGACTGTTTGTTGCTTGATGCCAGAAGGTGAAGCCCGGGGCCTGGATCCCAGGCCTCTCCTCTCAACCCTGAGTTTGTGTTTTAGATCAACTACTATGCAGACACCATCTATGTATCTGCTGGCGTGGAGCCTGCTCACTCCCAGTACATAACCGTGGGCGCCGGCATTGTCAATATAGTGATGACCATCATCTCGGTGAGTGACAGGGAGTGACCTCCCCACTGCAGTGTGTGCAAGCAGTGCCCCCCAGCAGACAGGCACCCCACCAGGGCCAGAAAAGTTCTGGTGGCCTGAGTCACATATTAACTACCTGTGTGACCTTGACCAGGCAACCCAGGTGTCCTTCTTTGTAATATTGCCAAACCTGCTATTCTCCTGTGGTATTTGTTGGCAATATTGTCATTTCAGAGAGTAATTGAAAATCGGAATCCCTCCTGCCTGATCAGCTGCCTTTTCCAAAGTGCTCTTTGGTAGCGAGAGCTTGCCTACAGACACAGGATCTAGGTTGGATCTCCAGCCCCAAAACAAACAACAAAAAGGGAAAGGACCAAAGTGCCCTCACTGAAATAGAGGATGGTGTCGGTCCTTAACCTAGACCAATCCCTGATGGGTTTACTCCTATTTCTTCAGTTGTTTTTAGAAAGTTATTTATTACGTAGCTGTATTTCCGCTCAGGTAGTTTAAGTCCCAGTCAATCTCGGGGGATATGGAAAATTGGCAGGAGGGAGAAGTTCAAGAGCACAGGAAGAAAGGCTGGCAGGAGGAAGAGTCCCTGAATCCCCTGCCCTGGTTCAGCTCCAGGCCCTGCATGGTCAGCAGAGGGGCCACCACTGCCAGTCAGGGAGGCCAGACAGGAGCACAGTGGCGGTTAATCTCCTACGGAAGAAGTTAGAAAGGTCAGCTTCAGATTCTGTGCCTAGTTCCCAAACACTGCCCTCCAGGGCACGCAGAGCTCTCTGGCTGGGGTTTCTCCAGCAGGGTGATGGGGAGAAGGTCCTAGTTAGGGCTCTTTATCTTGAGGATGCAGGATAGAGCTTGCCCCAGAGGAAAAAGGAAAGGAACAGGGAAGGGCTTCCGTCCGCACACCTCCCCGTGCCCCTGTAATTCTCGGTAGAGAGGAGAGGGGTGCATCCTCCAGGAACCAAGCGCCTCCAGAGCAGCAAGGGCCCAGGGGTCAAGGCATCAAATCCAGAAATTAGGAAACGTGCTGGCGCGGTAGGAGGAGGAGAGCAGGGAGCCGAGATCTACGAGATGGGGGGGGGCCTGCACTGTGGGGGCTGACTCTGGGCGACCCTCACTGCCGCCTCCCCTGCAGGCGGTCACCGTGGAGCGGCTGGGGAGGCGGCCCCTCTTGCTGGCCGGCTACGGCATCTGCGGCTTCGCCTGCCTGGTGCTGACCCTGGCGCTCCTCTTCCAGGTCTGGCCCCTTCCGTGTCGGGCGGGTGGGGGCCCAGGGCGCGGGTGGGAGGTCGGGCAGCTCGGCCCCTCCCACAGCTCGGCGCTCACGGACAAGGACTGTGTACAGCCCCCTCCTGAGATGAAGTTCAGGATGATGGCTCCCCGCACCTCACAGGTGGCCTCGCTCAGGAGGACAATTACAGTCCAGCGTGTGTTTCTGTGTGTAAGGGCCAGCGCAGGGCGCGGGGAAACACCCACAGGAAGCCATCCAGTCCACGGGCAGCACGGGGGCGGGATGAGCCCGCGGGCTCCACGTGGACACCGGGCAGGAGAGAAAAGAACCCCCACCAGAGCAGGGACAGCCCCCAGGACAAACCAGAGGCCCAGCCGGAGGGAACGCGGAGTAGGACCAGTCCCAGGCTCACTGCGCTGAAGGCTGTCCGGGGCACCCAGGGCAGAGCGCGCGTCCCGGAGTTCTGCCAGCGCGAGGAGCTGTGTCCTCTCTGGAGCTCAGAGTAGCCTGGGGACCAGATTCGCTGAACCTTGAGAGGACACAGTCACAGGGAGGGCTCTAAAGTACTCCGGGATGACACCACAGCAAGAGTGAAACACAGTCCTGTTTCGGGAACACATCCTTCAGTTTGTGATTCTCTCAGAATACATTTTTTATCTGTTTTCTATAGAAGTTATAGAAAACAGTTATAGCTGGTATGGTGGCTCACGCTGCAATGCCAGCAATTTAGGAGGCTGAGGCAGGAGGATTGCAATTGGAGGTTAGCCTCAGCGAGGCCCTAAGCAACTTAGCAAGATTCTATCTCAACATAAAAAATAAAAAGGGCTGGGGATGTAACTCCATGGTTAAGCACCCTTGGGTTCAATTCACAGTACCAAAAAAAAAAAAATTGCATGACCACAATACAAAATGATTTAAAAACCATCAGATGGTCACTCTCACTGACCTCTTGGCCACTGTTGTTTCCGCAGTAACCTTGCCACTGCAAGGTTTTCAAATGAAAAATACAGAGTTGAAACTTTTCTCCTCCATGACCAGGAGAAGGTGTGGAATAAGGAGATTATTCCCTAATTCAGAGGCAAAGTTTGTGTTCTTTTCCTCCTTTTCCACATCATCCTCTCTGTAATAATTTCCTCACTCAGAGGAGTGTTAATGTTTGTGACGTGGGCTGGGGAGGGGCTCATGGTGCAGTGTGAGGCTCTGGGTCGGATCCTCAGCACCACATAAAAAATAAACAAAGTTATTATGTCCATCTATTTTTAAACATTTTTTAGTTGTCAGTGGACCTTCATTTTGTTTATTTATATGTGGTGCTGAGAATCGAACCCAGGGCCTCACACAGCCTGGCCAGCCCCTGCCACTGAGCCCCACCCCAGCCCTCCTTCTAGGGTTTCATTTGTAAAGTGCCAAGAGTGGTGCTCGGCACGAAAGTTCATCGAGGGCAGGTTGTGCCTCCGGTGCCATCCCTGAGGAGAGATTTGGGCAGCTTCTGGAGCCAGAATGTCCCACACCTGTCCTCGTTCGTGCCCGAGAACCCTTGAGGGCTCTGTGGGGCCAGGATTCCAGCGTGACGCCTCCCTGTGGCAGGAGGGTGGGAGCGCAGGTGCCCATTTGCAGCAAGGGTTCTTGGCCTGAGGCCCAGACGGCCCGCCTTTCCCCACAGAGCACAGTCCCTGAGCTGTCCTACCTGAGTGTCATCTGCATCTTCGCCTACATCTCGGGACATTCCATTGGGCCCAGTGAGTACTACCTGCAGCTCCTCCGCCCCCGCCCTCTGGGCCTGGCTATGGAGCCAGTGCTCACTAATTACTTGCTGAATGAAGAGCGTCCTCGGTTCACAATGTTTGTGCTGTTCCCTCCACCACGCCCCTCCGTTCCTGTCCAGTCCGCCCATTCTAAAAGGCCCCCAATCCAGTTCACGTTTATTCATTCAGCAAACATTTTCCAGTGTCAACCAGTATCATACTCAGACCAGTGCCTCACTAGTGTGCGGCTCCCAGAGGTATCCAGACCCAGGTCCAGACCCAACAAGGAGAGGAGCCCGTGCAGAGGGGACTCTTACCAGCCAGATCCCAGGGCACCCTGACTTGTCCAAACCCTCCATATGCCATTGGCCTCCGAGCCCACCCACAGTCGCCTCTCTTTGCTCTCTGCTGACCTCCAGCTGCATCCTGAGCTGCTGTAACCCCACATCTGCGGGACAAGAGCTTCAGGCCCCCACATGGGCAGCCATGGAGCCTCCAAGCTCCATTCCTGTGTGCCCTCCTGAGAATCGAGCCTGAGGAAATTTGCCTCCTAAGACCCTAGTGACGTGTCCCACGGGGTCTTCATTTGGGAAGCACCATCCATAAACCAAAATGCAGGCGCTGTGTGTCCAGGGATCACCTGGACACACACATCCAGGGAGGCCCCACCTAGGCTGCCCGAGCCCTGGAGATGCAGACAGCAGCGGGGCACACAGGGGTGTGTCAGTGAGCTCTTTGGCAGGAAGTCCCCCCACCCCCACCCCCGTGCACCTCAAAGGTATAGATGGCGCCGAGTGGGGGAGGTGCTGGTGTGTGTAGCCCACCTTGGCTCCAGGTCCTTCTGTCCCTCCCTGCCTGATGTGCCCCCCCCCCCGTAGCCATAGGTGCCAGCCATGGGAGACCAGCTTGAGGGCTGACTGGACATTTGAGCAGGGTCCTGACGGATAACACCTTCACCTGCACCCACGGTGGGCAGCAGATCCCCAAGGAAGGGCCCCTGGCAGGAGTTCTGTACCTAAGTCCCAAGAGCAGCTTTGTTCTGGGGCTTTGAATTCTCTCCTGGTCTGTCCCCTGAGACTGCATCTTCAGCGGGACCATTCTTTCTCCCTGCTCCCGGAAGGGGACACTAGTTGGAAGAGGACAGAGTCCTACGCCTTGTGTGTGCAGAGCTGCAGGTTTCCATATGGACATGAACAGATAGGCAGTAGGTCTGTGATACCAAATTTTCATGGACTTGGCGATTAGGAGAAAATATGGGACAAAGCTCCGCAAGGGGGTAACGATGAACAGGACTGAGAAAAAGACTTGGACAAGGAAAAGGGTGGCCAGCAGGCGCGGCCATTCCCATATGCGCCACAGGGGGGCAGCACTAGGGCGCCCGGGCGCTCCAGAACGCACCTGCTCCTCCTCCAGCCAGGGACGTCCAGAGGAGCAAGGGTTTGAGAGAATGGGGCTCCTGGGAGGGGAAGGCGCGGACTCACGAGTCTCTGCTCCCAAGAAGCCTTCTGTCCACTGCACTGTTGCCAGCCTTGGCTGGGCACCGTGGGCTTCTGTGTTCTCCTCTTTGGGCAAAGGTGGCGTCCTTTCTGCTCCCCAACCCAGCAGGGGCTGCCCACACAGGGGCCTGAGGGCGAGGCCAGGCCAGGCGGTGTCCCGCAGGCCCTCGGGGCCCTCTGACCCTTCTCCCCTGCGCCCACCCGCCCCTCCAGGCCCCGTCCCCTCGGTGGTGAGGATGGAGATCTTCCTGCAGTCCTCCCGGCCGGCTGCGCTCACGGTGGACGGGGCTGTGCACTGGCTCACCAACTTCATCGTGGGCTTGGTATTTCCGTCGGTCCAGGTGAGCGGCCCCTCCTGCCCATGTCCAAGCCGCCCTGTCCCCCCCCGGGGGTCAGCAGGGGCACCAGTGAGCAGGCAGAGTCTCCTCTTCCACCAAGAACACCTGCCCTTTCCACAAGACAGAGGCAGCTCTCAGACCTCACTGGACACACCCATGTGGCCGGGCTCTAAACATGCCCTGTCCCCAAGCCAGGATTTCAGAGGGGACACCCATACACAGCTTGGGAAGGGTCCATTGCTTAGGGTCCCTGGTGGGTGAAGTCCAGAGGCAATGGACAGCGGGCTCCTTCCTCTGCTTCCAAGATGTGCACCAGCTCTGCATCCCAGCACAGGAGGGGCCCAGAGACCATGAAGTCACTGTTGTCCACAGGCTAAGGGCTCCTCTCCAATGATGTCGGGAGGGACCCTGTTTTCTAGCTCTTTCACTCCTCTAAGAGCAAACAAAGTGGCCCCGAGGAAACTGCCTTTTTACTCAGAGGGCCTGAGCAGGCCTGCCCCCCTCCCGCTCCACCCCCTCCGTCTTCTTGGTCTCTTGGTCCAGGAGGCCATCGGTGCCTACAGCTTCCTGGTCTTTGCTGGCCTCTGCCTCCTCACTGCGGTTTACACCTATGTGGTTATTCCTGAGACCAAGGGGAGAACATTTGTGGAGATAAACCATATCTTTGCCAAGAGGAATGGAGTGGAGATTCCAGAGATCAAAGAAGAAGTGACTGAGGTTGGCCCTCACATACCCTCTGTGCCTGCCAAGGAGACCGCCCTTTAGTGGCTCTGCATGTCACCCATGTGCCCATATTCTAGGTTTCCCTCTCTGAGAAAGGGGTCTCCCTGCCTCAGGCCCCTGGAGAGGCCGAGTGGCTCTTTGTGTTCCCAGTGCAACTGGATGACTTTGGAAAGCACGGTCCTTGTTTAGTTAAGAAGTGGTCAGCTTCCAAAGCTAATGCTGGGAGCAATGTATGGTTATGGGCGGGAATGTGAAGATTGATTGGTAAGATTCAATTCTCTGGTTCTACATTGGTGCGCAAACGTAAGTGATATACGAATGGATTTTTTTAAGTAAAGCTTTGCAAGTTCAATGTAGTAGTCAGCTTCATACTACTGTAACAGAATGCCCAAGGCAATTAGCTTGTAAAGAGAATAGGTTGGGACTGGAGTGTAGCTCCATGGTGGAGCCATTTCGGAGCATGCAGGAGACCCTGGGTTCAATTGCTAGTCCCGCAAAAAGAGAGGGAGGAGCTTTATTTTGGCATACAACTCTGGAGGTTCCAGTCCAAGAAACATTCCAGTGACTTTGGGCCTCTGACTTGGGTGACATGGCACGTCACCGTAGGAGCGTGCGATAGAGCAACAGGATCCAGGAGACTGAACAAGGCTGAGTCTGGGGTCCCACAGTCTCCTTCCAGACCCCCCCAGTAACCTAAAGACCTCCCTCACCCCAGCCCCACACCCCCGTCTTTGAAAGCCACAGAGCATCATTTCCACCAGCTAGCTCGTCACCAGCTCCCACCCAGGTTGGCACGGGGGAGAATTAGGCTGCATCTTTGAACACAGGAGTGTCAAAAATTTGCCTGACAGTTTAAAACCGCCACAAGATCTTTCTTTCGATCCCAACTTTTTCACCTATTCTAGTCTGCGTTAGTCAGCTTACTGTCCCTGTGACTCAATGCCCAAGACAAACAACTTAAAAGTCAGAAAGGTTTATTGGGCTCATGGTTTCAGAAGCTTCGGGCCACAGTGTGTTGGCTCCAGGGCTTTGGGGACTGTGGCAAGGCAGCCCCTCAATGTGGGGAGCAGTGTAGGGTACGTGTGCTCACCTCCTGGTGACCAGGAAGCAGGGAGAGAAAGAAGAGACCAGGGTCCCAATGTCCCCTTCAATGGCACATCTCAATGACCTTCCTTCCTCGAGGCCCACCATCTCCCAGGAGAACCGTGGGCGGGGACGCAGCCTTCCGCAGTGAGCCTCTGGGGTGTTCAAGGTTCAAACCGTCACATAGTCTGTGGCCAGTAAGTCCCTCACCTCCCTCACCTCCGTTTTCCATGCCTCTAGCTGGAGCTCACGTCCTCTATACCAGGTGCGAAGGCTCCTGCCAGCGTCGGGGAGGTTTCGGGATTTCTGTTACCAGGCATGCCCACCCCAGAGCCCTCGGGGGGTCCTCTCCTCCTGGGGATCCGCACAGCGCGGGGCCCAGGACTGAGTCTTCAGGAGGTCCAAGTAGCTCTGGTGTGTCCACCAGCTTGCCCCCGCTGCTGTGACAAAATGCCTGAGGTAGACAACTTGTGAGAAGGGAAGGTTTGTTCTGGCTCATGGTTTCAAAGGTTTCAGTCCCTGGTCAGCTGGCTCGCTGCTTTGGGGCTGTGGGAGGCAGCATATTGTGACGGGGAGCACATGGGGGCCAGAAATCAAAGAGAGAGAGACAGGAGGGCCAGGGTCTCCATAAGTCCTTCAAGGGCACACCCCAGATGACCTAACTCCCTCCAAGTAGGCCCCGCCTCTTAAAGGCTCCTCCACTTCCCGGCAGCGTCCCTCTGGGGACCAAGCCTTTTACTAATGAGCAGCGGGGAATCTCAGATTCAGCCACACCCCAGTATCTCATTCGGGGATCCCAGGAGCACACGTGGCTCTTCCCCAGCAGGACTCCCCCTCCTAAATCATGCCCCACTCAAGGTCTTCTCCACCAGCCTCTTCCCCGGTCTGTAGATGGGCCTCCCCTAGAGGGGAAATCCAGTCTTGCAGGACTGGATCCTGTGGATGGTTCAGAAGCAAAACAACCACACACCACTAATGGCTGAGTGAGTCCAGGGTCATCCAAATAAATTTGCAACTCCCTGGAGAAATACAGAAGCTGTCTGGCGGCCTCTGGTGGATGTGACAGAGGAGAATCCAGTACGAAGTAGAATCAGTACCCTGGCAGGATATCGAGGGGGTGTGATGGACAACTGTGTGTGTGTGGTTCTGGGACTGGAACCCAGGGCCTGGGGCAGCACAGGCAAGTGCTCTCCCACTGAGCCACGCCCCCGGCCCCACCGGGAGCAATTTTATGCCAATAAATCTGACAAATGAAATGAAAGGGACAACCTTTTTGAAAAGCAAAAGGTGCCAAAGTCCACTCAATAAAAAGTAGATAAAATGGCTAGTCCTGAATCAATGAAAGAAATTGAATTGTTTCTAAATAAGCTTCCCATGAGGTGAAAGAAAACACAGGCCCAAATGATGTCACTGGTGAATGCTACCAAAACTTTCAGGGAAAAAAAAAATGATACAAATGGGATGCAAATTTCCCCAGAAAATTGCACAGGAAGGAGTACTTCCCAGTCGCTCCGTGAAGCCAGCATTACTCACACCAAAACCAGACTAAAGACGTTGTAAGAAAACTACAGATGTGCGTCCCTCGTGAGCATGGGTACAAAATAATGTCTATGCAGAGACTTGTACGAGTGTCCCCTGCAGCCTCGTCTGTCACAGCCAAAACACTGGACACAATGCAAAACACACCAAGGTCAACAAATGTACCACAGAACTGCACTCAGCCCTAACCGGGTGTGGACCACTGGCTCATGCTACGGTGTGGACGAACCTCACAGTGATCACGTGGAGTGCAAGGAGTCAGACCAAAAAAAATAAAAATAAAAAACCTGCATATCGTATTATTCCAATTATATGAAATTCCAAAAAAAAAATGTAAACTGATCTGCAGAGTCAGGAAACGAGGGAACCTTTGGGGTGATGGAGACGCTCGTTAGGTTGAGTGCGGTGACAATTCCATGGATCTATACGTACGTCCAAACATCAAGTTGTGCATTTTGAATGAGAAATGATTAATAAAAAATATTTTAATGTGCTTTTTGTCGGTCCCCCTGCAGCGCTGGGGGTGATAACCACCCTCTTGTTGTTTCCCAACAAGAGGCAAGACACTAGCACTAAGCTCCACCCCTAGCCCAAAAATATTTCTTAAATCCAGGTCAGCAGACCCCACTGACTCCTGGTGACTGTGCATGGGAGGGACACCATATGTCCCTGAAGATCCAGAGGTCAGAAACCACGTCTCCCCTTTGCCATGGACGTCAGACTCACAGGTCCTGGCGGGGGCACAGGCTCCCCCGTCACCCGCCCCAGAGGCGCTGCCACCTTTGAGAGCAAAGTTCCCCTTGGTACTCAGCTTGGCCTCGTCAGCACTTCCAGCAGGAGCTAGATAAGTGCTACTTGCCTGGGTCTCACCCTGCACTCGGGTGGCTGTGGCCCCAGGTCTAAAGGCACAGCCTCTCTCTGCATGGCCTCGCCATGTGCTGTCCTGACACCTGGCGGCAGGCTGTGTCATCCCACGTGCCAGGGCCTCACTCTCACTGGGAAATGGAGCCTCAGTCTTTACCCTTTGCTCAGACTCACTCCCCTGCCTGCCAAGCCCAGGTGCTGCACAGACCCCGCTGCACAGATAAGGGGACACACAGGTCAAGGTCCCCAGGAAGGAGGAGCAGGAGCCGGGTCATGGGTCGGGGTGGAGGCACTGCATGTGCTCAGGCCTGCTCCTTGGAACTCACAGCTGCACTTGGCCTTGATGTGCCCAGTAGGCGGCGTGGGGGAGGGAGAGGAATACCTCCAGTGAAAACTAACACAAACAAAAACAGACAGAAGAGGAAAGGGCGGTGCTGTTTCAGACAGAAAAGAAAAGATTGTTGGTTGGCAATGATCTGTCCCTGAAGGCAGGACCCAGGGGCCTCCCCTGCAAATAGTCAATGAGCAATGACTCGCCCTTCCTGTGCCCTTCAGTGAAGAGCGCACTCAGAGAATTCCAGGTGCGCCGTAGTCCAGGCGGTCTTGCAACTCAGACTGGGCTGTTCTCAGCTACCCCAAGAGCGGCTGGGCTGTTCTGGAAGCCCAGGCTTGCCCTCCACTTCCTTGTCTGGACACCCAAGCCAGGGCACCTGGGCGGTGGAGGAGACTTGGAGAGGAGCTCACCTCTGCACAGGAGGTTTTGCAGATGAGGAGCCCGAGCCTGGAGGTGGGGTGGAGCTGGCCTTGTGAGTGGGGTCCTGACCCCCAGAGTCCCCAGAGGCCAGCAGGCTCCTGATGGCCGGGAAGGGAAGGGCAGGGGCCTCTGGGCAGGCTGGTTGCTCAGTTAGTGAGGTTTGGGCTTTGGGGGTGGCCAGGGTGGACATAGCCTCCCCTGAAGGTGGGTGTAATGCCAGGTGCACCCACTGCCGGCTACTCAGAAACCAGAGCATTATGTCCCTTGCTGCCGGAATCCTCAGTGCAGCTCAGGGACGCACCGTGAGCCCTCAGAGCCCGCTCAGTACTTTTAGGGGACCCCCGTCTTCTGACTTAGAGCCCCCTGTCGCCTGGTGGGAACAGTTTTTCAGATACCTCCCCCACTCTTCACGAGACCATAGATGCCAACATTGGATGAGCCGTCACCCCGTCTTACCCTGTCTCCGCAGGATCCCTCATTCCACAGTCCCAGGGCCTCCACCCAGCCTCTGCCTGAATGCCTCCACCGACGGGCACAGCCCCTCCCCTCGAGAGGCCTGGGAGGCGGCCAGCGGGCTCTCACTGCTCCTTCTGCCTGGGGCAAGTTACTTCTCTGCTCAGCCTCATTCTCCAACTGGAGAAATGGGGCAGTAGCGGTAATGTCAGCACTGTCCTGGCGGGACTGTCGACAGGAGAAACCATCCCAGTGGGTTCGAGGCCCCTGCCCAGGGCCTCGGTGTGCCTGGCTGACCTGGGCAGCACCGGCCTCCTTTTTCATTATCCTTAGTTCTTCCTGGAGCCGCCTGAGGCTGTCCAACCGGAACCTAGGACAGGCCAGAGTGCTAAGGACCACACCCCACAGCAGCCCTGCACCCCAGCTGGTGAGAATGGGGTGCGAATGCCCCAGTGCCCTCACTCTCCAGCAGGATCAACCTGAGGCTGCTGCCCAGTTTGGGGCGAGCGCCCTGCAGCCACGTGGAAGCTCGGCAGCCCCTGGCACGGGGCCTGTGGTCCGCTGCCTTCCCTTCCCCACCTCTCCACGCCCTGGCCAGCATATACTCCCCTCCCCAGCGAACCACCTGCCCTCGAGTCTGTTTCTGAAGGTCCCAGACCAAGCGGCAGGTGGCGCGCTCTGCCCTGAGCGGGGGAGCCCAGGTGTTCTCCGCGTTGGCAATCATCGCAGCCGGGCCACGTGGGGGGACCCTAACTCCACCTGGACTGCCCCAAACCCGCCTCCTCACTCCAGCATTTGTCCCCTTTCAGGTCGTCCCTTTCCCAGAAGTCTCTCCGGTGCCTCAGGGAGGATGGACGGGGACATCCCACTGCCCCTTGTCGTTCAGTTTATCTGGCTTTTTATTTTTAATGATTTTATTTATTTATTTTTTAGCTATAGATGGACACCAAACCTTTATTTTATTTATTTTTATGTGGTGCTGAGGATCCAGCCCATTGCCTCGCACATGCTAGGTGAGGGCACTACTACTGAGCCACAACCCCAGCCCCTTGTTTTGCTTTTGATGTCCAGAGACTCTGCATCCCAGCACCTTCCGTCCCCAGAGTCTGGCCCTCGGCTGTGCCCTGAGGAAGGGGCCTGCTGATCAATAGCCTCCTGCCCCCCCACCCACCTGCTCTTCACCACGGGAGCCTGGATGGGCTGGGCCCTTGGACTGGGGATCAACCCTGGAGCAGTGTACCTGCCGGGCAGGTGGCAGGTGGCCAGAGGGGACTCCCGGGCTCTGTGCTCATGCCAGGTCAGTGCCCTTCGGTCTCTGAGGGGCAGGTCCACATCCTGAGCCACGACTGGGAATGGAGAGGCCCAGAGTCGGGCCCCTGGTGAGCTTCTGGACATTGCAGTTAGCTTCTTGGCTCCCCTGTGGGGGCCGGAATGTGACCAATGAGTCCCACAGGCCATACCTTGTTCCCCTTTCCCACCTGTCCCCACCCCTGTTTCCTAGTCTCTGACCTGGAGGCCCAGTCTCCGCCACCCCTTAGACACATCCCTTTAACAAAAGTCCGCTCTCAGCAGCGGGTCTTCAGGGGGAATCACCTTATCAGTGTTTGCTGGGCCTTCTCTCCTCCTTTGCTGAAATATCTTAAATCACAACATCGTGAGATTTCGTGCCTAGATATCTGACTGTGGATCTTTTTAAATATCATCATGCTTTTAGATAGTATCTTTATTTCACATACCAAGATCTTATGTCAATCCTTAACGTCTGCCGTAGACTCCTTCCATATTCAAATAGCTCCAACTGCCCCAAATAGTTCTGGGGTTGCTCTGTCAGGCACCAGGAGGTGCTGTTGGGGTCTTTGTTTAGTTTCCTGGTGTGTGTGTGTGTGTGTGTCCCTTAATGAGCAGCCCTGGGAATCTGGACCCACAGCCAGGGTAGGGCCAGCAGGTGCCATGAGGGGGAGGCCACCTGTGCTCCGTCAGACCCAAGACCTGGCTCTGGGGCTTCTGGCACCTGCTTGGTGGCCTGGACTCTCCCTGAGGGCCCTTTGCTGAAGGGTCCTCTTCAGGGCCCACCTTCAATGGGGTCTCTGTGCCAGGGGAGTGGTCACCTGAGAACAAGGACAGCAGAGAGGACAGAGAGGGGCTGGCCAGCTCTGGCGATGTGGTTGGGGCGGTGGAATCAGCTGTCTGCAGACTTCTCCTGGACATTCGGGCGTAGTGCCCGGGCGAAGCCCTGTGCTGCCAGGGCGGGGGGGGGGCTTCTTTGCTTTTCCTTCTTCTCTCTTTTTCCCTTCCCCGTTGTTGTAGTCGTGGGTGCTGAACAGCCTCGTGCCAAGCACACTCTCTGCCACGAGCTGCACCCCAGCCCCAAGAAGTTTGCACAAGTCCCCGAGATCCCTGCATGCTCTGGCTGGAGACCCTCTGCTCCACTAGAACCAGAGCTTCACTCTGCTTTCCCAGCCCAACCCACGCTCCCATCTCACCCCAAGGCCCCGCCATTTAAAAAAGATGCCTACTGTGGGGAGCCACTCCGAATAATGTGCATTTTCAGTCCTGGAGCAGAGAGACTTTGACCGTCACTACGTCTCATAGTGACCTGGACATTGCCCAGTCCCGGAAGTTTGAGGACGCGTCTTCAGATGTAGGTGTGTTGCCCCATGGATTGAGCTATGCTCACCTGCTCCTTTGTGATACCACCCCTTTGCCCTGTTTGGAATAGAATGTTCCAAGGACACTCCCTTTGTGTGTCCCCTTCTCTTGCTCTGCCCTTGGGTGTGGCCTTCCTAGATGTCAGTCAACCTGCCGACAGTGGACATCCTGAAGCTAGACTCAGCCCCCTGAAACCTGACCCCTGGCCTCATTGGAATGGCTTCTCCCCAATAAAAGGGTTCAGCACGCGCTGGCTCTCTCTCTTTCTGTGGACCCTTAAGTCAGAGGAGCCATCACAGGACCCCAAAGAAAAAGGTCTCTCTGTCTCTTGTGTGGTTGTTTTGTACAGCCCAGTTCCCCTGGAGTGACCCTGAGTGTTTTAGTCGTGAGGAACGCGGCATCATACATACCTGCTCATCCTGTATTTCAAAACCTTCTGCGTCTTACGTCTGAGGTGTGCTCTAGAGTGTTGTTCTCTGAGCCGATCATGGGAGAGTCCTTTCCCTTGACTAGCAGAATTTAATCCATGCACATTTGTTGTCATTAGGCTTGTTCTTCTGCATCTTATGTTTTATTTCTTGTATGTTCTTGCTATTTTTGCATTTTCCTGTTATTTTGCTACATTGCTCAACTTTACTGGGGTTGTATGTTCATGATTTGGGGGTTTTACTTTATTTTTACTAA